AATCAATGTTATGGATTTGCCCGCCAGATCATCTGATTTCAATCCTATCAAGAACCTTTGTGGGATATTGGTTAGATGAGTATACAAGAATGGGCATCAATTTAATAACAAGGAAAAGCTCAAAAGTGAAATTTTAAAAGCCTGGGATTCAATTAACCAAAATGACATTCAGAAATTATGAAAAATAGTGTTTGAAGTAATTACGGAAAACAAACTAAATATTAATTTCTGTTATTTTTTACTCTTTGTCACTTAGTAATAAAAAGTTTTTAATGTCCTTATAATTATGCACCAATCATTTTTCAAGTTTTTGAATAATTTTACAATAACTGATTTTCTACTCATATAATAATATACAAAATATTAAAAAAAATAGCTCAATTTAAAGACAAAATTCAGCTGGCCTTATAATTATGCACAGCACTGTAATATGTCATCTTGTATGCCATTGAATGCATGACAATCTCCTCACAGATGAATTGAAAATTGGAGGCAACAGAAATTTGTTTCTACAGAATTGAGAATTTCATGGACGAATCGAGTAAGCCACGAATAAATTTTAAGGAAAATGGAAACAGGAAGTGACAGTTGAAATTTATTCAACCCATAATGAAGAAGAGAGGCTTGGAGAGGCTTCACATGACATATCGATTGCAAGGTGGACAGGAGAAAGCAACGTGTTACATACACACTTGTGTAAATTAATTGATGCAAAAAGAATAATTCCATTATTATTTACTTTTTTTTTGTATTTTTCCAATGAAACTTGCCCACGTGCACATGTTAGTACTTCGCACGTCCATTCCACGAAGTCGTTCCTTTCAGATTTACCACAGATTCTCGATTGGATTTAAATCAGGAGAGTTTCCGGGCCAGTCTATCGTACTTTGATTTGCTCCCTGGTAATGCTTGTCAGTGTGTTCGTGCAACGTTACAACTTTCGTACGCTTCCTTGGAGTAACGTCCATCGCAGGCAATGACCGTAGGACAACTAATCGACAGTCGAGACAATAGTATTTGGGCACGATGAAAATCTGATGCAATCACGGATGACGCAATATTTTTCAAAGCCAAACAAATTTCATTATACACCCCGAAAATAGATTTATAGTACTGCATAGCCCTGAAAATTACCTAATTTGAGGAAAAAATAGAAATCGATTACACTCCAATGGGTCTAAAACTGACTTTCTGGTGAAATAAAGGAAACTAAAGCAGTTATTTCAATTAATTTGAGCAAGGGTGTACTTGACGAACTTGTGTGAATGGGTGGCAGAATGGGTTTTGAAGAATTTGCACGAAAATTAACAGAACGGATTCGGCGCGACGATTCCACTTTCGGCTCTGATAACAGTTATTCTACCAGTATATTAAGTTAAATATAGCTTACTGGAAGTTAGTGATGATTTGAGTAAGGAAAACCTTTCATGGAGACAATATGAGAATAAGCATTATTAAGTATTGAATAGTTTTTCTTTCATCTCAATTTTAGTTGCTTTTCAATTGCAACCACTCAGAACGTAATCTATTGCTGACAATTCTTATTAATGACAATTTATAATTAAGCCGTATACTGATTATCAATGTGCATTTATTTAAATATTTCTTGTTCCCACTGTAGCTGTAAGTAAGGTAAATCAATTTAATTTAGCAAATTTATGCGTGCTTACTTACCTTAGTTATTTTAATAATCTATAAAAATAAAATATTTATCTACATTTAGACAAAATTAGATTCCGAGCAAAATGAATCGCTTAATTAATTGATTCCTTTACTTCTTCGTTTCTTATATTGCAGTCTTATTTGTTCAAGCCTTTCATGTGAGAAATACCTTTGTATATTACGTGATCACCTTAACAATGCGCGCTCTTCAGTATTGATCAATGACAAAAGCGGATGATAAAACATTCTACCAGGAAATCAGCAGTGTAAATCACAGATTACATTTAGACCAAGCACGCATTCCTTCTGATTATAAAGGGAGGCTGCTTAGGCTTAATGTAAATGGTCTCAAGAATTTCTTTTTGCAATAAGCTTTGTCATCGCCGTCTTTGTCTTTCTGTTGTTTTCATTTCCATTTTACTGTTATATTAAACACGTACAATTTTTAGCACGAAAATATATTGAGCAAAAAGCGATTTATATAATAACAGGTGTAATCAATTGTTATATAGGAATAAAATGTCACTGCCGACACTTGAGTTTGGACGTAGATCGCCAGTGAGCAAACACAGGTGATCCCATTATTGAATTAAGTAGATCACGTGACCATAGAGGAAACGCATAAATATAGGAAATAGCTGACGACTAACGATCTTTATTTCTATTCTATCCTCTATACTATATGGACCGCCATTCTCTACCCTATTCACTATACTATTTCTCTATTCGAATCACTATACGGATTACTATTCGAGCGAGTATTATCGAGCAAGTACTATTAGTGGGAGATTATTCGAAAGCATTTTGACACCAGTATTTTTCAACGGCGTACTATGAGTTGTATTTGCGATTACAAAGTCTCTACTACAACGAACATTACAAAAGTGACAGCGAGTATTCGTTGACATTACAAAAGTGTCAAACGAGTGTTTGTTGACATCACAAAATCAATGAATCAGAGATACCATTAAACATTTAAAGAATATGAACGGAAAGTATTAAATAAACGATTCATTGCCCTTTATTTTAATTTTGAATTATTTATCTCTGTTTTATTGAATCTCAATAAATATTTTAAAGACTTTTGCTCCATTGCATCTCCCTATTAAAACGTTCTACTAATTGCCGCCATTTACACTACTATTACTAGTAATAATAATGAGTGCGTCAAACGAACATTCATTGAGAATAAGTTTAAGAATGAGATTTGATCTGCCAACCGTAAAAGTTCTGCTGGCGATTACTACGCCTAATACTACCAGAGTAAATAAAACAACAAAAAATTAATGAGAAAGAAATACTAGTTAAGATCGGTAATGACTGATAATGCTTCGTCTAATAAAAGTAGCCATTATATCTGATAATAATGTCGAATAAGTTAACGAAAACGTTTTGATATTAAATCAACAGACTTCTCCGAAAAAAGAAATAAAATAAAATTAAAACATGATCAAAGTATTTTTTTGTTATCTTTCTTTACTACATTTATCATTCATTTCTACGTTTCATCTTTTTTTCGGTGTGGATGTGTGGATGGTGCAATAGATATCGGCTCAGGATGAGGAAGCCGAGTTCGAATTCAGTTCGAGTTCGTTGCATTCGCGTAAGTGCAAATACTTTTGGGAAAGGTATGAATCTACTCCCCCAGGTATAGGAAAAAATTGTAGATCTTATATCTAGGAAAATTACTGTTTTCCTAAATATATATATATATATTAATGCAATACTCACTCACAAAAAAAAATCTTTTAATCGCAAAAATAGTTCGGCTTTAAATAACTCAAAAAGTGTTGGTAAGTCGTAAAAATCAATCAATCATTTCTTTCTTCTGTACCGTTTCTCAACCACCTTTTTCACTCTACCTTTTTTTCTTTTACTTATTTTTTACTAATATTTTTTTTTACATTTTCAAGCGAGTCCTGGGTATGATGATAAACTATATCCAGCAGAAAGGCCTCTGATTGGGAGATTGAAGATTTTGAAGAACGTGTAACCATCTTTTTGTTGACCATGTTTGCCGTAGTCTCTGAATATGGAATCCAGTGAAGTCTGTAATATGTTCAATATCAGAGGTTGGCAGTGAAGATTCGGAAAAAGTAGCAATTGTTAAGTAATTTTTTAAGTCTTCGATATCAGGTTGGCAGTGAAGATATTTTGGGAGAAAAACAAAATGGCTGCCTTTATACACGTCGGATTGAATATTTTAGAGCCTCCTGATTGGTTAACCCTTCTATTGTTGAACTATGAAATGAGTCAGCTCATTTTGGTTGGCTCACTAGTACATATACTCCAAAAAACTGTAACACTTTTAATTGATGTTGTTCCCAGCTCCACTCTGATCCGGGGTCCCAGTTATAGGCAAATAGCGAACACTCAAACAAAAATCAACAGTACATATTTTAATAATAAAATGACCAACAATACATTTTATGATCAACAAAATATATATTTAAAAAGCCTAGATTTACTTGGAAAATATAAAATTATATACAAGTTATCTGTAGCTGAAAACATAAAATTACATATTAAATATTTAGATTTCGGTATTAAATAACCCATAGATATTTATTTACCACCAAATAAAATGAAATAAAACTTTCATTCAACGAATCAATTTTCTTTTCCTTTCCTGCATTCCTTTCTTCTTTCACATTTTTTAGACTTTCTTTCTTCCTGACCTTTGACTCTTCCCGATTTTTGGCTAACTTTTAACTAATCATTATTCTTTGCTACATTTTCGTTTTCTTTCTATCGTTTCATTCTAATTTACCTCTTTCTGCTTTTAATTTTAGCCTTCTTTCCTTCATTTTTAAAATAATTTCTCATACGTGTTTGGAAGAATCAAATTCGACCGTTAGGACATTATTGCCAACGTCAGACAAAGATGATGTGCAACCGACCGGAGGTCTCACTATTTATTTTCGGAAAGAGAAGCGGTGTCCAGGCCACGCATTTAGGGAATGAGGGAAAGAGAGAGAGAGAGAGAGAGAGAGAGAGAGAGAGAGAGAGAGAGAGAGAGAGAGATAGGCACAGAGAGAGAGGGGGGAGAACAAAACATGGAGTTGCAAGCATTAAACATGAAACAGCTGTCATTTGGCAAAGAAAAAAAAGTAGAAACAGAAAAGGGAAAGGAGGAAAAGTTATTTAAAGTCAAACACTTCAACCACAAGCAACAAACAAAAGATTCCTCCATGTAACACAACAGCAGCAGCAGTAACAACAACAACACTACCACCACCACCACCACCAACAATAATAATAATGTTTGGGAGAATCAGGAAAGATTTAGCACAGGCGCAACCGATTTTGCATTCTGTGAATGAAGAAAATGCCAGAAAATGAAAGAACCACATTTGTTACTTATACTGCACGCCCCCACTCAATATATACCCACTTTATGTCATGAAGTCGTGTACTCTAAAGTCTATCTATCTATCTATCTATCTATCTATCTATCTATCTATCTATCTATCTATCTATCACAATACATGTCTGTCTATATATCAATATAACTATCACAATATCTATCTATCTATCTATCTATCACAATACATGTCTGTCTATATATCAATATAACTATCACAATATCTATCTATCTATCTATCTATCTATCTATCTATCTATCTATCTATCTATCACAATACATGTCTGTCTATATATCAATATAACTATCACAATATCTATCTATCTATCTATCTATCTATCTATCTATCTATCTATCTATCACAATACATGTCTGTCTATATATCAATATAACTATCACAATATCTATCTATCTATCTATCTATCTATCTATCTATCTATCACAATACATGTCTATCTATATATCAATATAACTATCACAATATCTATCTATCTATCTATCTATCTATCTATCTATCTATCTATCTATCACAATACATGTCTGTCTATATATCAATATAACTATCACAATATCTATCTATCTATCTATCTATCTATCTATCTATCTATCACAATACATGTCTGTCTATATATCAATATAACTATCACAATATCTATCTATCACAATACATGTGGATCTACCTTTCAATATATCTCAATACATGTCTGTCTGTCTATATATCTATCAATCACAATACATTATCTATCTATCTATCTATCTATCTATCTATCTATCTATCTATCTATTACCGCCTTATCAGAAAAAGAGAAGGAATATCGTTAAACTGTCCGTCTTTCCAATACATAATCGAAGCATTGCGCTATTTTAAAGACTTTGTTGACAAGTTGGCTGTCTTTTGCTTGTTTGCTTGTCATGTTCAGTTGACAAAAAATGTGATTGTTTTTTTTTTCTCTCAGTTCTGTAGATAAAAAAATCATCTATAAAATATATTTTGAAATATTTAGATTAGTTAAAGGGTTTCTTTAATTTCCGTTTCTATTTCGTCTTCCTGTGAGTAATCACTTATGTTCTTTCCTACTCCGCCATTTTACCCTCATTCTTCTTTTTATAAACAATTTTCTTACTATCGACACTTTTTAAAATGTTTTCTCGTAGGTTATTTATTTAATATTCGCTTACTACATTTTTTTAAACTCATTTACTCTCTCTCTCTCTCTCTCTCTCTCTCTCTCTTTCTTCATTTTCGTTTTATTTCGGTAAATTGTATCCTTCATTTTTATTTGATTCTTATCTGATTGTTATTTTTCTTTCTTTCTTTACTCATTTTCATTTGGCTTTCTTTTTTCTTTTCTTCTTATTTTTCTTTATTGATCTCTACCCACTCTGTTTCTTTCTTTGTTTCTTGCTTTCTTTTTTGACCAAATTCCTCGCTTATGTATTATGAGTATTTTTCTTTCTCGCTTTCTTTTATGTTTCTATATTATTCTTTCTTCTTTATGTCGTTTCATTTCTTTCTTTCTTATGCTTTTATCTTTTTTCCTTCTTTTTTCCATTTTCGCTCAAGCCATTTTAAGAATTTTTTTTTCTTTCTCGTACTATTATTAATTTTCTTCTTTTCATTGAAATTCTTATATTTTTCTATCATATCCTTTTCTTTTTCCAAAAACTGTTTTTCTTCCTTTCTAATCTTTTGTCTTTTTTTTTAAAAAAAACTTTTTTCCTCTTATCAATTACTAGGAGTATAACTCAACTTCGACCGGGGCTTTCATTACTGGGAATTTTTGCCGTTCAATTTGAGCAGTTTGTGTTTAAAGTCAGCCCATCCGAAAATCAATATTAGTCACGACAATTGAGTGCAACTGAGGTACATCCCCAAATGGGGGAGCAGGGCTAACAATTTGAATGGGTGGTGGCCCTGAAAAGGGCCGTTTTTGCATTCTCAATTTTTGTTTCAGCCTTACAAGCAGCAGTTGAAGTGGCGTTTCTCCCCAGCCGTTGGGGTCCTTTGATCATCATTTTCAGCCTCGCACGCAAATGCGTTCGGCTGAAAAGCGTGGAAACGCATAAACAACATCTGACCACACACACACACACACACACACACACACACACACACACACACACACACACACACACACACATATATATATATATATACACATTTTGAGAATTATAGATATAGATAATATTACTGTAATAATTTAATCTATTTATTTTTATTAAAGTTTTTACAGGAAATATATATCCAAAAACAGGTAGTAAATAGTAAAACGTTCCTGAGAGTTATAATGGACAAGAAATGGTAGAGAGCCATAGTTGCCAATAATTTGAAGTCAAAACCGGCATTGAAGAATTATCTATCAAAAAAAAAAAAAATCATCGAAATCAGATGAAAACTGTAGAAACGCATAAACAACATCCGATCACAGACACACACATTTTGAAAATTATAGATATAGATTCTTTTTCTTTTATCTCTGTCTCTTTTTTTCTTTCTTTCCATTTTTCTTTTCTTCTTTCTAATTTCCTGTTGAAACTTGACTAATGCATGGAATAATAATACAACACAAAATGTACTTAGAACAAAATGCATTGAAACAAGAAAGTGTGCACAATATTTACATATAGTCTTTTGGATATTCTTGGGAAGACCGTCCCTGGAGAATGGGTTGACTTAGTCGCAGTCGGGCAGAGTCTCTGGATTGAATCTCTTGATTCCTTCCCATCGTCTTCCCGGTACCAACCATATTTATATGGTCGGTACTCCACTATGCAAATTAGGTAGATCCTACCACAACATTTCCTTTATCTTTTTTATTGTTTCCCTGTTTCTGTTCTTTCCTCATTTTTTGCATCATTGGTAACATTACTTAATATAATGAAGAATTTTACTTTAAATGCTTTAATTCCAATAAAGGAATAGTTTCGTGTAAAATGTTCACAAAGTTTTCTTTATCAAGATTTGCGATTTGCTTCCAAAACTAAATAAGTCAATCGTTCGCTCGAAGAAAATTTTTAAGTTTACAAAAATATTAGTTTTCCCAACGTCCATTAAAAAGCGACATGACACAAAAATACTGTATAAAATGCATGTGTAATGAAATAGAATAAGTGATTTGTAAGCTGAAAATATGTATATAAGTGTGTGTGCCCAAATGGTTGATTTGTCAAGGTGTGGCCTTAAAGCGGACTGGGGAGACGCTTCAAATGTTCAGTTGCCAATGAGAAGTTCATGACAACCATAACATTGCTATGATATGTCTTGGGATTGATAGTGGAGTGGTTTCCCGTTGCCTTCTCCACTGTGGTTTACAACACCTCTAGTTAGCTCGCCTTTGACTCAGAGAGTTCCTCCAAGCAGGACAGAAGACATGCTTGTCAACAGACTGCTTGAAATCAAAGGATGGAACGCTTATATTACATAAGGAAAAAAATCTTCAACGTTGGAGTGAGTATAAAGGAGATCTCTTCCTCGACAAAAGAGAACAACCAGCAATACACAGATATTCTGAAAACCGAAGTAGAGTTCGCATTCGCCAAATTGAACAGAAACAAGGCAGCAGGGCCAGACGGAATTGTAATGAAAATGCTGACAGCCTTAGAAGAAATTGGCATAGAAATAAGAAATTAAATCTGCAACAGCGGAGATATACCGGAAGAGCTCAGCAGATCTATTTTCATAGCAATGCCTAAGAAACCAGGGATAAACGAATGTGAACTCCACCGAAAGATCAGCCTAATGAGCCTCGTAACAATATTCAACATCCGTAATCTGATGAATAGAGCGCGCTGCAGAATCAGGCCAGAAATAGGACAAGAACAGTGCGGGTTCGTTAAAGACACTGAAACATGGAACGCGATGTTCATGCTCAGAATGTTATCAGAAAGAGCGATACAAATTCAGAAGGACGTGTACCTATGTTTCATTGACTACCCAATGGCCTTCAACCAAGTACGCTACAAGGATCTGATGGAACTGCTCAGCAACCTTGATATATACAGGAAAGATATTAGAATAATCAAGAATCTATACTGGCATCAAACAGGAGTGGGAATGAGTTCGGCGAATATACAAAATAGAAAGAGGTGTAAGGCATGGATGCGTTTTCTCACGGGACCTGTTCAACCTACACAGCAAGGCAATTGTGAGAGAATTGTCAACCCTACTGGGATTCAACATCAGCGGCCACAATCTTAACAGCATACGGTACGCAGGTGACACAGTACTGATAGCAGACACGGAAATGAAATTACAAAATCTCCTACAGTAGGTAGCAAAGTAGCGTGGGAAGAAGGGCTAAGCAAAAATTACAAAGAGACAGAATGCATGGTCATCAGTCAAAGGATGGGCCTGAAATGCGATTTACAGGTCGGGAACTCAAAAATCAAGCGTTTTGACAGAGGACTGTAAGTGCAACACCGAGATCCGTAGACGTATTGGGATGGCCAAGGACAGATTCCAAAAGCTGGTCAGTGTATTGCGAGACAGGAAGATATATTTACGACAGCGAATGTTGGAAGATTTCCTCAAAGATGAAGAAGAGACTCTAGACGACGGAGTTGTGGTTCTACAGATGATGTTTAGGATATTGAGCGAGCGTGTGAGCAACGATGTGGTCTTAGAGCCAACAAGGAGGATATTGACCGAGCGTGTGAGCAACGATGTGGTTCTAGAGCCAACAAGGAGGATATTGACCGAGCGTGTGAGCAACGATGTGGTCCTAGAGCCAACAAGGAGGATATTGACCGAGCGTGTGAGCAACGATGTGGTCTTAGAGCCAACAAGGAGGATATTGACCGAGCGTGTGAGCAACGATGTGGTCCTAGAGCCAACAAGGAGGATATTGACCGAGCGTGTGAGCAACGATGTGGTCCTAGAGCCAACAAGGAGGATATTGACCGAGCGTGTGAGCAACGATGTGGTCCTAGAGCCAACAAGGAGGATATTGACCGAGCGTGTGAGCAACGATGTGGTCTTAGAGCCAGCAAGGAGGATATTGACCGAGCGTGTGAGCAACGATGTGGTCCTAGAGCCAACAAGGAGGATATTGACCGAGCGTGTGAGCAACGATGTGGTCCTAGAGCCAACAAGTAGGATATTGACCGAGCGTGTGAGCAACGATGTGGTCTTAGAGCCAACAAGGAGGATATTGACTGAGCGTGTGAGCAACGATGTGGTCTTAGAGCAAACAAGTAGGAGGCTTATACTTAACATCAGGAAGAAGCAGCTGAAGTTTCTGGGAAATGTAATGGGGAAGGATAACCTTGAGAATCTGATACTCACAGGTCGAATCCAGGGAAAGAGTGACAAGGGAAAATAACACATGACGTACCTAACAGGCTTAAGCAAATTGATGACAGAACGTGGTCTGGGGGAGGTGGCAGAGGGACGGAACTTGTTGAGATCTGCAAGAGATAGTGGGAGGGGGAAAGCCATGATCACCTATATCCTGAAAGGACACGTTACATAAAAAGAAAAGAATAGCATTGCCTCTAACCTTGTGTAGATGAAACTATTCGGAAGCAGTCGTTGCAAGAATGAAGTCAAAAGTCATTGTGATCGAGGGGTTGAGCATACCAATAAAAAAAAACTATTTGTCCTGTTCTATCTCTCAGAAACTGTAACTAAATTTCATCTGGCAGAGTTGCAACATAAATCACATGTTGACCCACTAGGTTTTAAGAAGCACAAACATGGGCGTTTGTAACTAGGATTTGGACGAGCTTTTGTGAATGTATGGCGGAACAGGAGAAAGTGTAAGCCTTGATAAAGGACACAAGGGATAGGGAAGATTAGACGGTTGCGGGGGCTGAGGACAATT